TACCTTCAGATTATTATATTTATAATATCCGTTAGGTAACTGAGGCATCAATATATGCAACTCCTTGCAACTTGATGCATTATCTAAAAGAATTATAAGAGTCATTAAGTTTAAAATCTTTATATATGTATAAGTTGATATTTTATTAGAAATACTAAGTTGACATATAAAAATTCTGAGTTCATATTTAAAAATATACTAAGTTACGATGCCGGTGAAAATTCTGAGTTCATATATTTAAAAATACTAAGTTGCCGTATTTACTCGATTGAGCGCCGCCCCCGATTGAGCGCCGCCACCGAATGAGCGCCGCATTCGAGATAAAAATTTTTAAAGAGCGCCGCCCCCGCACTAAACAGTGTAAAAGCTTTCCACCGTCAAAATGGGGACATTTAGCGGACAAAAACCTTTTAAAACTTGTGATTTTATTGTTAAAAGTTCTTTTTATAATTCACAAATAAAAGATTTTTTAAAGAGCGCCGCCCCCGATTGTGCGCCGCCCCCGAATGAGCGCCGCATCTGAAGCTCTGAAAATTTAAAGAGCGCCGCGGCGCTCAAACGAGCAAATACGGCTACCTCCACCGCAGGCCATACAGCCCGCAATGAGTATGCCCGTTCGCAGGTTGAAATTTGAGACGAAGGCTCGATTCGCACCAATTTTATTTTTTTGAAAGGCCTGCGGAGGAGGCAGCAAAACGGTATATGAAAGTTGAAGTGAGCCTGCTGCATGGGCTTCCATACAAAACGTATTCAAGTAGTATTTTATTGTTACTAGGACCTCATGTTAACTCAATTAGAAAAAATATATTATCTCAATTGGGTGTATAGCCAAATTGTTCTTACACGAATATTATACAATAACATTATATATACACTTGCCAGGATGGTATAATTTCTTACTTGAGATATCATTTGCTCTTACATTTCCAGTCGTCAGCTAGCAAAAATAAATTATACACAATTAATTCCATCAACTTTAGGGTAACCATTTGAATTACCATAGCAATTTTAAAAATATACAGTATGCGTTTTCTATTCAGTGTAATCGATTCAGTCAATGAACGAATGAATAAAGCGCGTTAACCGATTTTGCTGAACTGCTCTGCATCGGCGCCATTCCGCCTGCATGCATGCATGGCGCTTTTAATGCCCGTCCCTCGGGCTGTGCATGGACGATCGCGAGCGAACATTTTTGCAAATATGAATTAAACAAGAGGAGTAAAGCAAGGGATCTAAACTGGAAGCTTTCCTAGGAAATATAATATTACTCATGAAATGTTTGACTGAATTGTCAACGTTTTCTCAGCTTCCTATATATATATATAGGCTACTGGGTCGACAATCTGTAGACGTAGTGCAATTTTTGTTTTTCTACTCACAGTTTCCAGATCTTGATAAAACGTCCATTCCCCACTTCCACCTCTTTCTTGGGGTTTATTGCCGAGTTGACAATTTACTGCGTATTTATTTGATTTGCTTCTGTAGTTGTAACCAACACATGTTGTTTTTTGAAGGCAATTCAAGGAACATTCAATTTTGGAGTGGACAGTATGACTGGATATAACATCTTCTGAGGTTAGTGAGCCTCCTGAATTTATCAAAACATATATTTAAAATTATCAAGTTGTTCTATATATTTAATTAGCCTATATATTGAACGGGAATCGTCGTATCCGGATGTCTCAAATACATAACCGACCATATATATGTACATATTGTTAGTTGTTACTGTAGGCATTCTGAGCAAAATTTCTTTGTTTAGTTAAAACTGCATGCATGATAGCACAAAAATTAAAGTTTCGCGCATATGCAGCTGTATTCCTTACCGTAAAAAGCATATCTATGGTAGAAACATGCATAGCCAACTGCATTTTAATTTTTATACTTACCATGACCTTTTACATTCCTGAAATACTTTTGAGTTTCCAAGGATGATTGCGACTTACATTGGCTAAATGCGATGAAACAAGTTTTCAATAACAGTAAACGCATCATAATAGACAATAGTACTTCCGCGATAAAAGTCTCATCAAATATGCCCTATACATTACTGACACTGTACGTATATAGACTATATATAGTTGAACCACGTCGCAGGTGCATGGATGACGAGTGCTTGTAATGACAAAAATTCTATTTGTGACAGCATGCATGCATGTATGCATGCATGCAGTGTTTAAGGCAATCAAGAGAGGTACGAGACATGAAAGAACATCATGGAACTGAATACACTCACGTCAGGTCAGGATAATCCGTAAATTGCATGAATATATTGACCCCGCAAGGCCGCGTATTTTGTTACACTATCATGATGTCATTATTCCCCAGGAAAGGGATTCTTTTTACAAAAGATTAGAGATAATTACTGGTTTTATTATTTTATTTTTTTAATAAATTAACTATAGGCAAAACGGAGAGTCCAATTGTGTTAAAATGTACGTTTATATATTGTATAATGAAAAAAAAACCCAAATTTCAATAACAATTAAAAGCATCATAAATAATTAATACTAATGAATTCAAGTCAAACATCGTCGCAGGTGGACGGAAGTGTATATATACTTCATGCTTGTATTGACATTGACGTATGATGCAATTAAAAACAGAATCTACTGCACATACAGTCTTAAAAATATAATACAGGAATAATTCATGAATTGAACGAAAACATCTGCTTATATAGATGAAAGTAGTATATTCCAGATATTTTTAAATTACTTAAATTAATTGGACATTTTCACGCATATATAGAACAGGCATTTTCACAAAAGTTTATAAATTAAAGTATAAAATAAAGTAAATACAAAAACACGCCTAATTATTGGATTATAATTACTGGTTTTGTGAAATAACGAAGAGGCTTTAAAAAGGTATAGCTACCTGTATAAACTAGAAAATAAAACTATATATATATATATATATATATATATATATATATATATATATATATATATATATATATATATATATATATATATATATATATATATA